AAACACCCGAATGTTTAAAAAACAAAATACACCAATTTTAAACAAACTCTTAGGAAAGAAATAACACCAGCCATACACACATTCTTCCAGAGGACAAAAACCATGGCACTTCCCAATCCATTTCATGAGACTAACCAAGCATAGCAAAGACACTACCAAATGCGGAGGCTCCCTAAAGGAAGACAACATCACCCCGGCCCTCGAGTTATTTCTGTGGGTTTTCATCTGTGATGTCTTACACTCAATCCACAATAACCAGGTCTATGAGGATATAAGACGGTATGAATGGATTCCAAGTAACATCAACAGGCAACAGAAACAGACCTACAAAGGCTAAAAATAAAGGTGTTATCAGACACCGAATTGAAAAAAAACCACTATTCTTAATATGTTCAAGAGTTAAAAAGAGTAAGAAGTTTCTCAGAATACTAGAAACAAAACAGAACAAAAAGAACACATAGAAGCTCTGAAACTTTAAAATAACTGAAATTAAGAATCGGTGGGCTTAACAATAGCTTAAACACAGCTTGAAGAGAAAATTCGTCAACTAAATGATAGGCCCAAAGAAAATATCTAGCTTGAAAATCAGAGACAAAAGGATAGAAAATAATGATGAGAAGGTAAGAGATCTTTGGGGACCCCTGGACCCGCTGGGGTCGGACCCCAGCACTAATAGATATGCAATTAGAATTACAGGAGAGGAGGGAGAGAGTTGGGCAGAAGAAATAACAGCCAAGAACTTTTCAAAACTGAAGAAAGACATCAAGCACAGATCCAAGATCTTAACTGGATGAACTGCACTCAGGATAACTAAAAAGAAAAGGGTACGCAGGCACAGTAAACTGCTGTGCACCCAAGACAAAGTGAAAATCTCCAAAGCAGCCAGAGGGAAAAAAGACAGATTATCATCATCAAAGGAGTAACAATAAAATTGACAGTTAATTTCTCAACAAAAACACTGAAAGCCAAGAGACACTGGGATGTTGTCAAAGTGCTGAAAGAAAACACCCGAATGTTTAAAAAACAAAATACACCAATTTTAAACAAACTCTTAAGAAAGAAATAACACCAGCCATACACACATTCTTCCAGAGGACAAAAACCATGGCACTTCCCAATCCATTTCATGAGACTAACCAAGCATAGCAAAGACACTACCAAACAGTCAAACCATAGGCGATCCTTGTCATGAGCACAGACATAAAAACCCTGAGTAGAAGATTCAGGAAACGAATCCAGCAATACATAAAAAGGAGAGTGTAATACATCTCAAGCAAACGGACTTGATGGAATGCAGTGAGGAATGCAATTCATCATATTCACAGAAGAGAGAGGAAAACATGAATAGCTTCAGAAAAAACAACTTGATGATATTCAACATCCTTTTACGATAAAAATGCCTTGCAAACCAGGACTAGAGAGGGATCTTCTGAATCAGGTAAATGCTTTTTATGAAGACCCTGTGCACTCATCATACTTGATGATGAAATGTTGATAGCTTCCTGCTGAGATCAAAGGCAAGAGAAGGGTGCCTGAGTCACCACCTCTATGAAACATCCTACTGGGGATGGGGGGGGGGGGAAAAGGTATAAAAAAGGGAGGGCAAATCTCATTCACAGATAGTTTGATTGTGTTCCAGGAAAATCCAAAAGAAACTTCAGATAAATTTCTAGAATCAACAAGGAGTTGGGAAATATAAAGTCAGTCTGAAATCTCTCTTGTGCTTCTAAACACCGAGAGTAAACATTTAAAGCCGGGCCAGAGTGACTCCATTGGTTGAGCATTGTCCTTTGCACCGAAAAGTTGCTGGTTCCATTCCCGGTCAGAGCACGGGCCTGGGTTAGGTACCTGGTTTGGGGCGGGGAAGGGGCGCCTTAGGAAGGCAACTGATTGATGTTTCTCTTTCTAAGCAAGTCCTCGGGGTGAGGATTAAAAAAAAAAAAAAGAGCAAACATTTAGAAAAAGGAAAAAAAAATTAAGTTATAATCTACACTAACATCCGAATATAAAATATCTAAGAATACATGGAAAGATATGTACGACCTGTATGCAGAAACTTCTAAAATTTGGAGAAAATTTACAAGTCCGTAAGAATTGGAGGGACATACCATATTCATGGTTCTGAAGACTCAATATTGTAAGGATGTCAATTCTCCCCAAACGAGTCTACAGGGTCCATGCCATCTCAATGAAAACCAGAGCAGCTTTTGTTTGTTCGCTCACTTTGTGGAAACTGGAAACAGATACTCTGACTCTAAGACTGACGTGGAAATCTGAAGGGCCCGTAACAGACTTGCTCCACTGGGTACTGAAACCTGTACAGGAACAGCGATTACGAAAGTGTAATTCTGGCAAAAGAATCGAGAAATAGACCAATGGAATAGAACAGGAAGCCTGGACACAGTCTCAGGCATATCTACGTTCACGCAGAGAGACCCACGCTGGCAGATTCCCGGAGCCTTGCTCTGTGTCGTTCTCCTGCGCAAGCCTCTTCCCCTATCTGGACTTCCGCTCCCTCATCTACAACACCTGTCATCTGAGCTGGGTCACAACATTCTGATTTGAAATAAAAATGAACAGATTACAGGGTCCCCCCAATTCTCACGTCCGCTTTACAGCAAGACAACCTCCCAGGAAACTGTTCCCCACGTCTGCTTTCTGAGGGAAAAGGGAAAAACAGGGATTTACGCCCCGTGTCCTGCCACCTACAGACAGATGTTAATCCAAACGATTCCAGGGCAGTCTGAGTATAAAGTGTACGAACGGCCGCATCTTGCAATGTTTGCTCATTTAGGAGGCAGACAAGGGAGTGGATGAATGAGGCAGACCTTGGTTTTATTTTTCTCTTTTTTAAAAATATATTTTTATTGATTTCAGAGAGGAAGGGAGAGGCAGAGAGAGAAACATCCATGATGAAAGAGAATCATTGATGGGCTGCCTCCTGCACACCCCACACTGGGGATCGAGCTTACAACCCGGGCATGTGCCCTGACATCCTGGTTCCTAGGTCGGCGCTCAACCACTGAGCCACGCCAGCAGGGCCAGACCTTGGTTTTAAAATACTGTTTTTCACTTACACGTCTACCAAGTTTCCAACCAAACCGTTTATGCGCTCGGAGCCTCCGTTATCCTCAGCTGTGAAAGGAGAGTTCCTGTGAAGATGAAGTTGACTAATGCTTGCGAAGCAATTAGGACAGAGTCTCACTCATAGCAAGCATTTGAAAAGTGAAAGCCATTATTGGAAATATACTGGGGCGGGGGTTGGGGCGATGCACTAATGATGAAGACGGGATAATGGAAGTAGCAAGCTGGACTTGTGAGGGTTTATCACAGAGTGCCTCCGGTGTGGTTAATGTTTAATAAATATTTGTGGAATGGGGGAGTTACTAATTTACCAGGCTCGCTCACAAATCCTGTAGTTAATGTCCCCTTGTTTACAGGATTAGGCTTGCTTTGAAATGATCCTTGGATTCCTAATACATTTCTGCCTTCTATGAAAGACTGGACTCTTCCCAAAGCCCCATCACACACACACACACACACACACACACACACACCACCACCACCCCAACCCCGACCTCGGCTAGTATCTTTTCCCTTCTTCCCAACCTGAACATGGGGTGGGGGGGCCCTCTGCCTTGTGTAGTCAACTTGTGCTTGACTGTGGGGCCACCTTACTCAGAGACTTCTAACACCAAAACAGCCTATAAAGGAACTATTTCAAAACCACCAAGAAGGTGGGTACGACAAAGCCCTATTTTAGAGCTTATACTTCAGGCCTGAAAACATCTGCCAGGAAGGGAGGAGTGGCCAGGGCTGACCGCAGGAAGGAGCTGGCCTTCCCTGGTGGGACAGTCATGTGACTCTGGGACCCTACCGAGGGAGAGTGTGTTAAGTACCCCCACCCCTAAGACACCATAAACTAAGGTGCTTTTAAAATCACCGATGAATATACTCAACTCATTAACTGAAGAAGTTCTCCGAATGGCAGTTTTTGATGTGTAAGCGTATACGAATCCTGCTCTTTCCTCTGGCTGCAGAAAGGGTTATCCCTGCCATCCTGGTGTTTGGACAATTTCCTGATTTTTTAAAAAAAATATATACATATTTTTTTGCCAAAACCGGTTTGGCTCAGTGGATAGAGCGTCGGCCTGCGGACTGAAGGGTCCCGGGTTCGATTCCGGTCAAGGGCATGTACCTGGGTTGCGGACACATCCCCAGTGGGAGATGTGCAGGAGGCAGCTGATCGATGTTTCTCTCTCATCGATGTTTCTA